ATTCTCCTACGGAACCAAGACATGTGCAATTTCAACCAGTGACATCAGAATATTTACATAGAGTGGTTGATATTCAAGATCAGCGAAAACACAAGCAACTCCGTGAAGACTTGGCGGATTACATCTATGTTGGTCACGAAGATGAAGATGAATAGTTTTAGGACAAAAAATGTAGGTTTTATCATCTTTTTTTTTAGGTTTTTAAATGCTTTTGTGTTTTGTTGTAATTTTTTTAATGTTGTTTTTAATTTAAGATTTATTAAAAATTTATTTTTTACTTTTCAAATATAAATAAATAAATAAAACAAATTCAAAATATAGAAAAAAAAACATCAAAAAAAAAAAATTGGTGTTATCACATGTTATTAGATGTTGCTCATTTCCATCTTGGGTGTTATAACATCATGCATGATAACATGTTGCTCACACCTAATAATTTAAGGTTATATGTACGTCAACATGAATTTATAATAAAAATTATATAAACACAAACCTTAAAAGGGGAGGCCTAGTGTTTCAGATTACTTTTTGAACTTTAATATATTTTTGGACAAAAGTGTACTGATTTGTGATGATTTTAAGGTTTGTATTTGACGTCAAACTTTAAAAAGATATCACATTAATTATATAGAAAGTCGTCGTCTTAACGCATACCTTACAAACGACGTAGCTCGTCACAACTCGTAAAAACTTGAAGTCTGATATTACCGTCAAGTCACGTCCAAAGTTTACAAAAAACTAATAAGTCAATATATATATATATATATATATATATATATATATATATATATATATATATATATATATATGGCTTAAAATCTCATTTTTTAAGTTAGAGGTGTTTGAGTGTGTTTTTTAAAATGGTTTGTGAACTTATTAGTTTTTTTTTTTTTTTAATCGATAGGTTAAAAAAATATTTGGTAAATACTAATTTTTAGTTAAAAAAATGAGTTTTTTATAAAGAATTTTTGATTTTTTTGAAAAACCAAAAAGGAGTTTAATAGTAATCATATAATAATAAAGAAAAAAAAACTAAAAGAAATTTCAAAAATCTAGTTTTATACGAAATCTCTTTATCAAAAATACAATGAAAAAGTTATTTTAAAAAAATACTTTCAAATATACAAAGTTACAAACATTTATTTTAACAAAATGACTTTAGTCACTTTACCAACACCCCTAAATCATTTTAAAAGGATCTTTCTATCCCGATTTTATCTTGATTCGCGGTCTTGTAAAACGTAAAAACGTAAAGTAAAATAAATCCTGATCTTTATCTACTGATATCGTGATGCCGAGCTGAATAATTTTCATCTTCCCTCTTCAATTTTTCTCAAAAGTCATAGTGAAAGTCAACAATCAGTGATCCTAGGGTTCTTTGTTTGGTGGGAGGATTCATTTGTTCAAAATCATGGGAGATCCAATCGTGTCTTCTGTAGTTAATCAAGTAATGGAAAGATCTACGTCTCTAGCAGCCCAAGATTTCGCTGTTCTATGGGGCCTCAAGTCCGATCTCCGCTCTTTACGAACCATTTTTACACAGATCCAAGCGGTGCTCGCCGACGCTGAAGTCAAGCAGAGGAAGAACAGAGCTTTACAAGATTGGCTAAGGAAGCTCAGAGCTGCATCTTTCGAGGTCGAAAATGTATTGGAAGAGGTCTCTACCGAAGCTTTGCTGCGAAGGCTTCACGTAGAGAGGGGAATCAAGAACCGAGTAAGTACATTCTTCTCCGCTAGTAATCCGCTCCAGTTTCGTATTATGATGGTTCAGAAAGTGAAAGATATTAAAGAATTGCTGAACGCAATCGCATCCGAGAGAATCATGTTTGAATTGGAAGAAGGGATTAATATTTCAGAAGCTGTTGCTGATATAGAAACCAGGATAATCAGCTCGATAGATTCTGAGATTGTAGGAAGAGACGAGGAGAAAGAAATGATTATTGACAAGATATGCACCAATTTGAACAGTCTAGATCATGATCATGTACATGTCTATGCCATATGGGGTGTGGGGGGTTTGGGTAAAACCACACTTACTCAACTGATTTTCAACGATTCAAGAGTAGATAAGTTGTTTGATTTCAAACTCTGGTTGCATGTATCCAATGACTTCAGCATCGAAAGGCTAGCTAGAGAAATTTTGAAGTCTATAGAAGGTGATTCCTCCAATCTCTCACTGATGGAACTTGAACCATTGCTACAACGACTCCAAGAGAAATTACAGAGAAGAAGATTCCTCTTGGTTTTGGATGATGTCAAAAATGAGACCAATGAGGAATGGAATGGATTGATGCAAGCATTGAGGTGTGGATGTAAAGGCAGTGCTATTCTGGTAACAACTCAAAGCATGAAACTTGCTGATTCAATAGCTACCCTTCCCACATTAGTACATCCACTCGGTTGCTTATCAGAAAATGATTCATGGTTGTTATTCAAACATTATGCATTTGGTGTTGAAAGAGATCTAGAAAGTACAGAGTTTGAGACAATTGGCAAAGCAATTGTCAAGAAATGTGAGGGTTTGCCTTTAGCATTAAAGGTCATAGGAAGCTTAATGTGCTTCAAAAGTAGCATAAGTGATTGGTTGTGTATACTACAAAGTGAAGTTTGGGAATTGACAGATGAAGGAACTCATACTCATATCTTACCATCTTTGAAGCTAAGCTATGACAATTTGCCTCCACATATGAGACAATGCTTTGCTTTATGTTCAATATTCCCAAAACACCATGAAATGGACAAACAACTGTTGGTAGAGCTTTGGGTGGCTTATGGTTTTGTCCCATCAAGAGGAGATTCTGACTTATACGATTTAGGTGAAGAGATATTCAATGCTTTAGTTTGGAGGTCCTTCTTGCAAGATGTCAAAGAATGCATCTTTCAAGGTATTACAACGTGTAAAATGCATGATGAGATGCATAATCTTGCACAATCTGTGATGAAGTACGAATGTTCAAGCATAATGTCTGGTGAAATACTAAAATTCCCTGAAGAAGTTCTTCATTTATCTTCTAATGACATCATATATCTATCAAATGAAGTAATGGCAAAAGCAAAATCCTTACGTTCACTCATTACTTTTGAAGGCTTTTCAAGAATTCCTACCCCTGATTACATATTCGAACAGAGGTATCTCAGAGTTTTGCATTTAGGGTCAAGTTCAGATATGCTAACCGATTTACCAGAGTCAGTTGGAAACCTAAAGTTTCTTAGGTATCTTAATGTCTCACGCTCAAAGATTGCTGCTTTACCTAACTCCATTGTTCAACTCCAAAACCTACAAACCCTAAAACTGACCTTTTGTGAAAATCTCTCTGAGTTACCCGAAGGAATCAGGTACATGAGAAATCTTAGACATTTGAATATCCACGGGTGTTGCTCTCTTGATCATATGCCACATGGCATGGGACAGTTACGCCACCTAAGAAGACTCAGCACGTTTCTCGTGGGCCAGGGAGTCCAAGTAAGCGAGTTACAAGAGTTGAATCTTTTAGGAGGAGAGTTTAGCATAAAGGGTCTTACAAATGTGAAAGATTCATTTCAAGCTCAGAGTGCAAACTTGAAAAAGAAACAGAATATAAACTGTTTAAATCTATCTTGGAATTGGAAGAAGAGTAAAGGAGACAACTTTCCTGTTAACAATTCAGAAGGGATTTTGGAAGCACTTCAACCCCATTTGAATTTAAAGATGCTAACAATATCTGACTACCCAGGGTCACGTGTTCCATATTGGATGGGTAGTTTGGTAAATCTTGTTAGTATTTCATTTGAAGGTTGTAGAAGATGTGAAAGTCTGTCTTCTATTGGGAAACTTCCTTCTCTCAAGGTTCTTGAACTGAAAGAAATGGATGTTCTTAAATATCTTGATGATGAAGAAAGAAATAATGAAAACCTATTTCCTTGTTTGGATAAACTAATCATCAACGAATGCCCCTGTTTGATTGAACTGCCTTATATCCCAAAACTGGAATTGTTACAAATAATCAAAAGTAATGAGGAGATTTTTAGGTCTGTGAAAGAGTTCAATTGTTTGAAGAAATTTACAGTTGAGGGTTGTCATGGTTTTATTTCGTTTCCTTCAGATTGGTTTCAGGGAACACCAGATCTCAGATCACTGAGTATTTTGGATTGTTTAAGGTTAGAGAGTTTGGAAGATGGATTGCAGTGTTTAAAAGCTTTGGAGGAATTACAAATCATGGGTTGTCCAAATTTGAGGTGTTTACCAGATGGGTTGCAGAATCTTGAAAAACTCAAGTCTGTGGTTATTAGGGATTGTGAAATGGTGAAGGTAAGGTGTGAGAAAGATGTAGGTGAGGATTGGTCTAAAATTGTTCATCTTCCATATGTTAAGATTGATGATCAAGTGATGCTGTGAATTAGTAATGTAATCTTCTGGTGCTCTGAACTCAGGTACTTGTTTAATGCATATTTTGTGATGTTTTATTTCATTCTTGAGTTTTTCTAAGAGATTCTGTAAACATTTCAAATAGTGAAATATGTAGAGCACTGATTTCTGTAATTTATGCTTTTAGGAGAAATTAGGATCCGTTTTGGTGCATTTTTGGTGTCATGGCTGGACCCATGAAGTTGAAGGTGTCATATGTAAAAATTTGACAAGGATCATGAGCTTTCAAGAAATAGTATGAAGACAATGGAAGGATCTAGTGGTAATAGTTTTGTAGAAACTTGGTTGTAATAGAATATGATTTTGTAGTATAGTGTGGATTCATGTATAAATAGGTAGTTTCTTGTTACTTGTATGTATTCATCCCTTAACTTGTATAGTTCTCTTGCAAGCATTTTAAGAGCAATATAAATCGTTGTCTCATTTAGGTTGTTGCTAATTTGTTTTGCTTCTTAAGGATCGTGTCTTGCATTTTGTGCTTGAAACCATACATATGTTCAACTGCTCTATCCTTTTTTGGTTCATATTTGATTTCACATCCTAAAATTTTGTTATTTTTCTTTTCAAAATAAAAGCAACGAAATCAAAATGTATTCAACGATTCATCTTCTGTATCTTAATAGAACATATGATGGCTATTATTAAATATCATACAAAACTTTAACTTCACGGAATTATCATAGTCAGAAAAAAAAAAATACCATAATTGTAAAAATCTGAAACTATAAATACAGCTACAACATCCATTGTATGAAGTATAAACATTAAGTTAGTTCCTTGAAAAACTTCAATACTCCTACGTCTTTCAATCTACCTAAAACTAGCACTACTACCACCACCAAAACAAACACCGGTCCTTGTATAATGTATATCATCCCCCTCATAATCTAACACAATATACATCATTTTGCACCCTTTCTGTATCAATAAATACCCACCCACAAATCACAATTCTTTGACTTCAAACATCTTTTATAGTTTGTAATGCTTTAATCGTGTTTCGCTGCCACATGGCAGTTTCTGGATTAAACCTCAGTTCCCATGTAGGCCAATAATGCAAGTCCTGTTTCAATGTCAGCACCCGTGGCTTCCCATTCAAATACACTGTTTTCACACGTACAAATTCCCCATTTTCTATTTCCTGTATATACAACACACCATCAAATCAAAAACTAAAACTCTATATATTTCTTTTATACAAAAACATTAAATTGATATCCCTTCATAGTTCATACCTTTGTTACATTCACAAAGGCTTCCAAATCAGGAGTTGGTTTCCCATTAACTTCGACAATCCACTGAAGAGCATACAACCCATACCTATGCACAGGACTCCCATGAGACCACCTGAAAAGTAAATAGATTGTCATAATAACCATTTATAGGTGAAAGAATTTTATGTTGTAAGGGTAAAAGACGATTATACCCATACCTTGTCACATACACACCATGTCCTTCATCTGGCAAAAACCCGAGTGCACGCACAGCCGGATGCGGATCCTGTAAGAAACATCCACACCAATTAATCACACGCGTTGTCCCATTCCCATCTCTCACATCTGTCCCCACAAGAATTTCCATTTCACACCCCTGACGAAAAACAGTCAACAAAAGTCTTCCCCCTTCCACCTCATCATCTAATAAATCCAATTCTTGACACGCGTCTTCAATATCACGAAAACACGTAACTGCTTTTTTATTAACAGCCAACAACATATCACCTTGTGTTAACAGATTCTCGGCTTTAGATCCAGCTAAACAACCTTTGACCCGTAAAACCTGACGCCTGACGGGATCTTTTTTCACAAGTTCCTGAATCCAATCATCACTCAGCCCAAAGCTTCTAGCTTTAGAAAGCAAAGTAGGGTAAAGCTCCACCTCCAAAATTCTAACCAAAGGCATCGGTCTTTTGATCCCATTAATCAGAAGACAGGGTCCTTTTTGTCCTTTTCCACCGGTTGTTATAATCTTTTCGAGTATTTGGCTTATTGTATATATCGGAACACCTCTAACAAACTGATGATCTTCAGATGAGCTACCATATTTCACTTGGGTTGAAAAGCTACTCCATATGGCTTTCACTCTTCCTTGTTCATCAGTCAACACTCCCGAAAAACTGCTCCCAAAATCTAAACAACAAACACAAAAAGAAAACAATTAACAAACACATTAAAAATAATATGTTAGTGAGAAATGAGAATGTAGTATTGCAATATTATAATACCGGTGTCGAGTTCGATTACTTCCATATTTGTTGCTCTGTAGCGTGGAGAATCTGCTGAGCTGATATTTAAAGCAGCACATGGATTTGTTACAACTGATTTTCTAGATGTTGCTTGTAAGCTTCTACTTAATCCCACTAGGTATACAGATTCACCACGTCTTAATGCAGGTTCTGAAAATTCAAAAAAAAAGTAATTAAAATGTGAAATAAGTCAATAACTGAATAAGTAGAATGAGAAAATACCAGGAAGAAGTTGAGCAGCTTGGACTACAGAAGCTCCTGTGGGCCCTAATGCTGAAGGGTCATATGCCACGAGAGCATAGTTGTGAACAGGGTGGAGGAAGACAACTTCACCCGGGATTTCAACAGGAAAGGCTGCAAATGATAGCATGATGTCAGATGCTGATATGGCGACTGTGTTTTTGTCAACAGCAACTAATCCCATGTTTTCAGAATGATGTATGATGACACCGGTTCCGAAAAAATGCTGTGAGTGGACCCCGTCTAGCATACATGATGATGGTACATAAACCTGAAAACAGGAACCTCACAAGTCAAAATAATATTTACAACTACGAGGGATATTTCGGTAAATTTACCTCAAACATGACAAGGGTAGGCTCTATCACACGCTCAGAAACAGAAGCATTACCAAAATCAGCTGTTGTAATTATACCATCTTCCTGACTCTCAATTATCGGTTCTTCATTTAAATTATAATCAGACAACTCTTCACCTACCCTCCGTTTCTTTACTCCAGTGTCAGATCCATCTTCAGTTTTAACACCATTAACCAAAACTCCATTAACTTTTGTCCCACAAGATAAAAAATTGCATCCATGAGGAAGAGCTTGATTTCCAATCCATAAACCAGAATTATCATCACGAGTGTAAATCTGAGGGGATGCATACCACTCATGTCGATCAACAGTAACTAAAACAGACTTCCTCCTATGTCGATCTGTGTAGCTTATATATTCCAATGGAACCCTACCTCCTTTACAAAGCTTAGATACAACATTTATAAAGTCTTGAAGGTTTAAAATCTCTTCACCTGCAAACTTTTTAATAATGGCATGTTTCGGGACTCCAGCTCTAAAAAACATGTAACCAGGTTCCGAGACATAAACAAGACCACATTGGAACCGAAAGTTTCTAGCTTGTTGATATGAAAGAGGGTGTATCACAGCTCCACTGATTTCCAAGAAATAGTTTGGGGTTATCGAGTGTAAATCTTCAACTGTTAATTTCACAGTCAAAGGTTTCCCGCCTCTTTCGAGTTCTAAGTCAACGTTTTGGTCAACGCTGTTGTCGAGTAGAGTTTCCATTTTTAGAAACTGAGTAGTTACCTCGTTGTTCATGCGGATGAGTACGTCACCTGGCTCTAACTTTTTATGAGCTGGCCCACTAGGTACCTTACAGAATGCCACATCATCAGCCATGTGTAACAAACTAGTAATTCGTCAATGGAAGTGTGAGAGAAAATAAGAATTGAAAAACTTACTACAGAATCAACAACGAGCATTCCAGTTTCGGATAGAGGAGATGCAAGGCGAACTAACTGCTCTGTTTGACTTTGAAGACCAAGTCTACGGGTCTCATCGAATCCTTTGTGGATAAATGTTGTCTGAAGGGTGCCACGTGGTATTGTAACAGCTTCCCATTTATCTTGAAATGAATCTTTTCCCTTTTGTAAGAAATTTAGAGCCCTAACCACCTGTACATGTATAAAGTACATGTATCAATGCATAAGAATGTGAAAAAGACTGATAAATTGAAGTTGATATAAGGATAAAGGAATATATAGTATAGTTACTAACTTACTCGTTCTAAAGGTAAGAAGAATGCTGAAGCACTTGAAGATTTGCTTCCAGCATTTAAGGCAACAGCTCGTCCTTGCCAATCAACAACTGGGGACCCACTTGAACCACCTTTAGTACCTGAAGCTGCCTGTTGTAAAGAAAGAAATGAAAAAAGAATAAAAATTAACAGTTTTGTTACCATAATTGTAAAGTAATTGTAATGGTATGAAGAAGCTCACCTGCATGTAGAATGTATTGAAATCATTGTAGCCATCCCTGCAACATGGAGAAGACTCATCATTAATACTTGATAAATCATAATCTATAACACAAGAATAGATGATTATCAAGAAGTGAAGTGCATACTTTTTGTAATGTGGAGCATCCCTATCAAGACGAGCAA